CGGCCAGTGACAGACAAAATGAATTTTGTTTTTATATAATAATATCTGTACACTTAAAATTTGACTGCTCACATTCTGAAACCTCACTAGCAACAATACAGATATGACCTGTATACAAAAGGAATAAGCTGGCAAAATATTCCACTTTGAAGCACTTGCCATATTGACAGATTAAGATAAAGAAAATCTTCAGATAGTCTTACACTTTACGTTAAAATCTATAAAAGAAAATCCACTGAAGAGAGGTATTTAGACTCCTGTCTTCGAGCGGCACTTTGTGTTTCTTTGGCACACATCACTGCAGCAGTAGGAGCAGCAGCCTTGCCCTTGGTGCTGATTTCTTACCACTCTAAATGTCTCCTCTGAGCCAGAATACACTGGCTGTTGCTGATCATGCTGTGAGACACCTGCACTGGCTACTAGGCTTGTCATGACGCACAAAACCCTACCATCTTCAGCTTGACATTGTGCAAGTTATAATTATTCATCCAAATGAATATGTCAGAGCAGCAGCAGCAGACCTCTCATCAGAGCAAAAGAAAAATACATCAAAACATTATCAACCCAGCAGGAAGACAGGGACCATAAGGAAAATTACCCATCTTTAATATGGATGCCACAAAGCCATGCCTATTATGTTACAAAAGAAAGGAAAATAAAGATCTTTCAAGTTTAAAGTCCAGATACAAGAAACCCAAACACGAAATGTACAAAAACCAAAGAATTTTTTAATCGATTCTCTAAAAGCTATTTACTGCTTCTTAAATATAACTTAGCTTTAAACTAAACAGTACTATCTATTTTGCTTAAGAAATGTAATTGTTTAAAAATTGTTAAACATGCACGAAATCTCAGCAAGCAGAACTGTTTCAAGCCATTCAATGTAAAAAGATCATATATAAGGATGTCTCATTTCTTCTTTGCACCACACAACTGGTATTGGTAATGCACAATTGTCTAAGAGACTCAAGGAATACATACTGGGGTCAGCACTGTTGCACCACAGATTAAGCCACCACCCGCAACACCCACATCCCATGTGGGTGCCAGTTTGGGTCCCAGCTGCCCCACTCTGTGCAGCACCCTGCTAATGCGCCTGGGAAAGCAAAACATTTCCCCAAGGTTGGACTCCTGCATCCATGCCAGAGACCTAGGAGAAGCTCCTGGCCCAGCCTGACACTGCAAATTGTTTGGGAAGTGAAAGAATGGATGGAAGAGTTGCCTCTCTCTCCCTGTAACTCTGCCTTTCATTAAAAAAAGATATATATATCTTTTTAAAAGAAATTAATCCTGATGGTAAAATCAGCAAAATCCTTATGATGGAAAGCTAGAGTCTTACAGAGAGAAAGTTGTTCAAAAATAATGCCTAAGTTTTAGAAGCACATGTAAGTGAAAAATACTGAAATCACAACTACCTTTCTATATAAATAAAGACAACATCTAAACTGTATAAACATACATGAAGTATGCAAGTACAAATATGGATTGCTAACTCATTTAAATAAAAATTAAAAAGGTGTTAATTTTCAGAATGTTATTAGCAAATCTTTTTCAAAAAAAACAAGAAACAAGATGGCAGCCCATGAATGTAACCGTGTCTTCTGCACAGCCTTACATATAACACATGCTGTATAACAAGTATCACACACAAAACTGAAAGCCATGCCTCCAGGAAAATATACCTACAACTCATGTAATCAACTGAGAATTGGTGCCCAAAATACAGAAGGAATGCTTTCAATAAAAGCAAAAGTATCTTAAAAGGCAAAGACTAGTGACACATAATGATAAGCTTCAATTCTTAGTTATGGTGAACTTAACTTCACTGAAAGTTGGAAGAATGTAAAAGTATCAATTACTTGGTACAATCTTGTGCAACAAATTTGGAAAGCTGGTTGGCATTATTTAGTATCCTTAAAGAGACACCTTACCTATCAGCCAGGATCTTTTCTCATAGAAATAACTCACAGTAAAAGTCTCACGCTAGGCCTACAGTGATGCCGCTGACAGTAATGCCAACATCACTCCACTACCTCTCCAGCTCCCTGCTGACTTGTCTGAGAAAGCAGCGCAAGATGGCCCATGTTCTTGGACCCCTGCGCCCTCATGTGAGACACAGCTGGAGTCGTAGCCTCCTGGCTTCGGCCAGCCCAATCACTACAGCCTTTTGAAGGGTGAACCAGCAGATGGAAGATGCAGCTTTCTCTCCCCCAACCCCTCCAATTCTGCCTTTCAAATATATAATCAAATCTCTCTTTTAAAAATGTCTCATACATGAGCACAAAGAAATACATAAAGCTATATACCATAGGGTCATTAGTAAGATATTGTGACCAGTTTTATCAGTAAGCCAAGGAACAAATTGCCTGACTGACAGAATAAGATAAGGCATTTAAAATAAAAAAGAGCAGGCTCAGATAGATCATGGAAAAACCAGTGAAACCATCCTGTATTTCAAAAGTTAAGTAAGGTATACAAAATACCACAGGAAAAGTGCACGGATAGTATCTGCACCCATTTCAGGGCAAGAGTGACCTCTTCAGAAAGAGAAAAGCAAGGAAAGAGGAAGGGTGAGATTTCAGCTGTTCTTAGAACATTCTATTTCAGAAAAATAGACATGAAGCAAACGTGACAAAATACAAATACTGCTCAAAATTTGACTTGTAAATAAAAAGATGCCTTGCTTCTTCTTATCTATAGTTTGCCACGTGCTACAATACAGTCTATTTGTATACGACATTCCAGCTATTACTAGCTGTGTATTTTCTTAAAGGTATTGTATGACTCAATTAACACTAACGCTTGAATTTAATATCGTACACAGTCTAGCCTGGGTATTTGTATGTATCCAGGGATGGAAACAGAAGACTTGAGCTACCACTCTGTGTATATGTCTGCCTCTAAAATAAGTAAAATTTTATCTATATATATTGTTTAAGATTTTTATTTATTTATTTGAAAGCAGGGTTAGAGAGAGATGAAGCAATAGAGATCTTCCATCTACTGAGTCACTCCCCAAATAGTCACAGCAACTCTTTGAACCAAGCCAAAGTTAGGAGCTTCTTTCAGGTCTCCCATGTGGTGCAGGGAGTTGGATCAGAGTAGAGCATCAGGGACACCAGCACAATAGGCAGAAGCTTAACCTGTTTCACCACAACACTGACACCAAAGATAAGAATTTTTCCAAATAAATTACCCAAATTTTCGAATCTACTGATCTCCCAGACTAATTTTGTTATAAATGCTAAAAGTAAGCTTTTTATTTAAATTTTTTTCAGGAAGTAGTTACATATATTTAAAAAACAAACAGACCTAACATTCATCAACCTTGGAATATTTATAAATTATGATTAATTTTCATCAATATCTTGAAAGCATAATAGAATGCAGACAGTATTTGCTCATGATCTCACATTTTTAAAGTCAGGTTTTTGAGTCAATACTTTTAAAAACAAGAGAGCTGTACAACACAGAATTTCAATTTTGAAAAAACAGTACATCTTGCATGTATAACACAGATAAAAATAACAAAAGGTGAGGTGGGTCATTAAGATTCCCCTTGAGGTACCTGTATTTGCTATGGGAATGACTGGGTTTAAGTTCTGACTCTGCTTCTACTTCCAGCGTCCTGCTAATGTGTCCCATGGATGGCAGTGCTGAACAGCGTGAGTACCTGGGTGCCTGCCTTCCACACGGAAGACCTGAACTGAGTCCCAGACTCATGTTTGGCATCCTCAGCCCCAGCAGTGGCGGGCTTTCAGGGAGAATGAATCAATGGATGGAACAACTTGTTCTGTCTATATTATCTATTTGACTTTTGAATGAAATAAACACAAATTACTAAAAGGTTCATCAAAGTAAAAACCACCGGCTTTTCTTCCCTTTATTCTGCCATGTTTTCTCAACTTCCATTGGAAAAAGTGGAAATGTTAGTTTTTAGGAAAAATGAGAAAAAATAATTGGTGAATAAATGGGTGGGGCAACATGACATTCAGATTTCAGAAGACTCTTTAAATCATCTTTTGACTTTCATATGAATTTCATATATAATCATGTTACTCTTAATTATAATCTAAAATGCAAGCATAAATTTCTACTTGAACCCAATCTAGCACTTTGCCCAACCCAAATCAGAAATACGTAGAGCCTCTAGAAGACACTCGTAAGATGTCACCAGAAATTCTCTTGTTTATCTACAAACAGAAATCTTTTCTCCATATTTTTTAAGTAGTAAAATTAATTTGATGAAAGGATTATAGTTTGTCATCTGACTATTCTTTGAACCTAGGTAGCTACAACAACTACATCTTCCAATATTACAGAGATGATGAGTCAATAATGGCACTAGTGATAATCTCACCATCTTATAACTATAAAATCACAGTCACAACAACCTTCCAAAAATACTATCTTGCTAGATATCAACAGGGTACCAAGGGTTAAAATGGCAGAAGGAGAAAGGAAAATTAAGTGCAAATGTTCTAAAGTACATAACAAAAAAAAAAAAAAAGAAGAAGAAATCCGGATTCTAGGATGACGAACCAAGAACCAGCACTTTAAATATCGAAAACTGGACAGAAATGGTGAGGACTGTATGTTCACTCACAATGCATTCTGCTCTGAACAATCTGATACTGTGTTGTCACTGCTAAGAATTTTGGTAAAACAAAGAATCTTTATTTTAAACTTATCGTTCACTGGTTTCAAGGGGTTCTTTAGGATTAAATTTAGAGGAAAATGTACCAACAGAGTCGCTGCATGTTAACTGAAAAGGAAAGCAACATTCTGGAGAACGGATTGTTGAGGGAGTGGGAGTGTGTGTGTGTGTGTGTGTGTGTGTACACAAAGTAGGGTAGGAAAACAGAAATGGTCATTAGCTTAAGCTATCTTAATAGTTCATAAAATGCCTCCTGAGTAAAACTTGAAAAGGATGAACTCAAAACCTGTAATGGTCACTGAAAACACGACCCTTCTTAAATTGTTTCAATTTAAGGTTTTACCTGTGGTGTCCAAGAAACAGGAAATGGAACAGGAAAATCCACAAAACAATCTGGTGACTCTGCAGGGTACTATGGGAAGAAAAACACAAAACCAAGTCATTTCTGCTTCTGATGATAATTTCGGGTGCAGAATTTCAGAAAACTGAAAATATTACAAAAGTATCATTGCTATCTTCAATGTAGTATATACGACGATCTTAATTCTGCTGTTACAGTGAGCTGACAGCTAACAGTCTATCTTTGTTAAGAATACAGAAACCTGAATGATGTGCAGCAAGCAATAAAAGGAGTGATCTCAGGCGTGAACCAAAAAGTATTCTGTTTATGTTCAAGATAAGGGATCCAATAAGCTACTATTTAATTACCCTCCAATCTATAAAATTTAGCTACAATAAGCTTCAGTCACTATTTAAATAGACATGATGTGTTAAATGAATCAGGAAATACACGAAAAGACCATATATAACTAGTAATGTTAAAATAATTTTCTATGTTAAAGCAATTATTTTATAAAATAAAAAGAAATAAGGAAATGTCATCTAGCTGTTAAAAAAAACCCAAAGTTTAGCAAAAAAAAAAAAAAGAAAAAGAAAAAAAGCAAGCCTTTCCAAAGATGGCAAATAAAAATTTGATTCCTCAATTATTTACCAAAAGGTGATACTTATGGAGACAAATTAGATTTCTGAGTTATTAAAGACTAAAGATAATTTTTCTTCATGATGACTGTATAATCCAATTCTGGATTCTTGAAAGTCATGTGTAATCAAAAATATTTTTTTTCTCTCCTTTAACAGACTAAACTCAGGTGAGCATTTGACCCAGAGGCTAAATGGTACTTGCAATGCCCACACACCCCACTGAAGTGCCTCAGTCCAAACTCCACTTTTCATTCTACATTCTTACCAATGCACACCCTAGAAGGTAGCAGGTGATCTCACACATGGGAGACCTGGAATGAGTTTCCAGTTTCCAGCTTTGGTATGGCTATTATTTTGGAAATTTGGGAAATGAAATAGTAGTCTCCATTTGTAAGTAAATAATTGTTAAAAATTCTAGGTTTAAAGAAGGAAAATTACAGTTTTAGGAAAACTTCATTTGAAAAATGTTTAACAAAAGTCTTAAATTTCAATTTCCAGCCACTTTTTTTTCAGGACTTTGATGAGTAAACAAAAGGCAACAGTACTTAACAAACATCAGCCCATTTAAAGCCAATATTTTCAAAAGGATTAACATTTGCTGCAATAAACGGTTAAAAAAAAGCTTACTGCTACTGACATATACCCTCTGGCTACTGCAATCTGGCTATGTAAGTGGCACAAGGGCAAATATAGAGAAAACCATAAAAATATTCTAGCATTTTAATGCTGAACAACCTGAAGCAGAGATTATTTAAGGCTCCTCACAAGAGCAGCTGTTGCGCTTCAAAGTTTAACTACTACAGCCACTAGAGTAATGATTTTGATATAAAAAAAAACATGTGATTATCTCAAATACAGTTTTCCCTGGTTACTTTATTCATCTGCATGCTCTTTGACAAGTTGATCAATATATCTGACTCCACATGTAAAGAAGTTGGCCAAATTGTTACAAAATTTATTTCTCTCTAAAATGTCAGGCTTGCTTAAAATTAATAATGCACAGGTCAAAACCCTCCAAGGGTAGAAAAGAGAATTTAGCATAAGTAGCCTCTACTCACCTAGATACACTAACACACAGTATCAACTCTCTAAAGCAAGTGAGTCAGCAAAATGGATAGAGTAAGAAAGACATTACTCAAGTGTTACCGGTTTTAGAGTGGATGCACCCAGCCAAGTATTGGCCATGGAGGGCATTAAGCCCGTATATAGCTCATCATGTTGGAAGGCAGTAAATCTTATACCTCATTCAGGACGCAGAATGGTGAAGAATACATGCAAACTGATAGAAAAATACCCACAAGCACTTAAAGAAAAACACAAATCTGTAAAATAGCTTAAATTGTTAAGAGTACACAGTGCAAAATCTAATCCACTTTTTTTACTGAATCTTAATCTTAAAGAAGACATACCTTGGTAAATATACAAATATCATATACCGTATGATCTCCCACATAAACATGATTCCACCATACACTTTTGGCAATGTCATCTTTAAAATTTTATGTCTGTAACAATGCAAAACAACCTTACCACTGTGATAAATTGCACTGACCTATATGCAAGTTGGCTCTATACCTATTCTGTGTACCTATGTATACTTATTAAGCCATACCTACTATGATTTAAATGAATAGATTTATTAAATGTGCAAATTAGATTCACATGTAAGGTTAATTTTATGACTTTAATAAACTCTAAATGTGAAAACTTTACTTTAGCAGTTTAATTGAAAACAAAAGCTCCACTTACAAGGCTATTAATTGAAAAATCGGTATTTAATTATGTTCAAGTATAGTTTTCCAAATCACACTTGAAGCAATTCGATAACTATAAAAGAATGTAATTATATGTTAATTATATGTTTTTGTTAACACCATATTTTATACAAAGTTAATTATGTATTTGTTAGATACAGTGTATTTTAGACTAAGGGAAATTTTAACCAAGTGTGTCCCAGGTTGGTCCATCTAAGCAATAAAGCTAGACACACGTGAATACATGAACTGAAGCGGGGACAGAGCACCAGACCTAGTATGTCTCTGATTTGCTTATCAAGTAGTTCTGACCTTAACTGAAGCTGTGTAACCCAGGGCTTTTTCTAGTAAAGAAATAATCATTCCACCCCATAGGTGAGGATATACTATAAATAGCACATAAAAATACACTTGCAAAAACCACCTAAATAAAAATTTCTTACATAGTCATTTTATTGCAATTAATAATGCTTTCAGTCCTAAATAGTATTAAAATTAATTATTAGTAGTATGTTCTTTGTGGGTCTTTGAAAACAGAAGCGGTGGCAAGTGGTAGAATTAGGAAAGTATACACTCAATAAAACAAAAACCAAAATATAAAATTGGAGAAACAGGTTTGTATATTTATCAAGGTATGTCTTCTTTAAGGTTAAAATTCAGTAAAAAAAAAATGTGGATTAGATTTTGCACTGTGTTCTCTTAACAATTTAAGCTATTACTCATTTTAACCCACAGACTAAAATACTCAAAAAAAAAAATCACTGCATTTCAAAGACAGCTTTGTTTCTACAAAAGCTAAAGGGGAAAAAATAATTGTGGCAACATAATAAGTAAAATCTTAGAAAAAAAGAAAAGAAAAAAACCCACAAACCACACATCCCTATGCCAATGGCTTCCTAGCTCAATTTATATATCAATCTTTTCCTGCTGCCAGGGCATCCATTAGACAACCTGCTAACTTTAAAACATTCACAGTTGAGGACATACTCTGCATAGAAACAGAAACTCTTCCAGAACTATCATCTCATCTACAGTGAGAAGGTTAAGAAGGCAAGCCGACAGAACAGACCAAATCAGATGCCACAGGTTCTCTCTCAATACAACCAACAAATGAAATACATGCCATCAACCTACATTAATACTAAAACCTTACACGTGTAGTTGAAGGCATGCTTACAGCACTACCTCCATTTTAAGTAAAAGAACTAGTAAAAATGAATGAAGGATGTATTTAAAATCTTTGATTTGGGTTTTGATAAAACAGCAAAGCAACTTTTATCAATATACAAAATATATACAAATGGAGCTTTGAAGGACATGACAACACCCTTGCCACGGGGAACAGGCCACCTTTGGGAAGGATAAAGGCAAATTTCTCTTGGATTTTAAGAAAAAGTATACCTTTCAGAACTTAAAAGGAAAGTAAAATCCTTTTATTTTAATAAAAATCACCATCTAACTTACTTTATAAATAAAATTTCTATCTACCAATTTTTGATTCAACACTTACCACATGAGTCTTAAAATTACACCTAAATATTCTAAATGTGAGAGTGCAAAAGAATGAGTCATTTCTCAACCTGTCTGATTCAGAGACTCTAGAAGGTATCAACATTTCTGTGTCACCCGGCACAGTTTTATATATTAATTTTCTCTTGTGGAAGGTTTAAATGCCAGACACATTTTTAAAAAGGACAAACACAATTGATCTTTTCATCACTACAATCTTCTGAAATAGAGTTGATTGATGACTCCCAAAAACAATAAAAAAAAAAGGATGCCCTGGTTTTCTTCAAAATCATGTTTTCCCCAAAGATTACTAAGTAAATGATTAATATGCTGAATTTCCTTGTTTCTATTTCTTAAAATTTAGCAGCTAGAAGTAAAAATCAAATATGATGCAACCTTGCTGTACACCAATGAAATCAATGAACAGTTACAGATCGAGCCTGTAAAAGGGCTCTATAGAGGAGGCTTTATAAAGGTTTGCATAACCTTTGCAAATTCTTAAAACTATCTAAGTCAGACATTTCAGCCAAAAGCAAACTAATGAGACAGAGTGTGTGTGTGCGCGTGTGATGCGTGTGCGTGCCATGGGGAGGGAGAGTCAGATGAGAACTAGAAAGGTTCATTCACAATTGTGAGAGTTGAAGGCAAAATGCTCTCTGCTGAACTGGACCTGGAAGAGGGGAAGCACTCAGGTTTCTACTTGCTGTGGGCTTACAAAAATAACATAAATGGCATGTCGGGAGACACCAAATCTTACCAGTAATTTTTACAACACAGTCTCTATAGTTTAGTTAAACTTCAGCTAAACAGGAAATTGCATCTACACTTCTGGACACTTTGGAAATCCGCAAAGAATGTATTATACTAACTGGATTTTAAAAGCATCATGTACGTAGTTTTAGAAGCAACTAGCACAGCTTCGCAGTGAGAACACAGGGTTCACTTCACACACCCTACGCCAAACCCTATAGGGTGCACGAAGCACCCAATACCGGCCGCCTCTACATCAAAAACGCATGAAATGTCCAGCCTCACGCCATCCCGTTCCCACCCCTTGAGAGACCCTGGCCCACCAAGAGGTCAATAAACACCAGTGGAAAAAACCAACCGCCACTGGCTTACCACCCACCCTTTTCACCACCACAAAATCCCAACCCCCCCAACAGCCGCGGTGCCCATTAGCAGCCTCCTAACTGCTGCTGATCCAATCCAGTCCGTACACCCTCTGCACGATGCATCAAGCCTCCACCCTCACATTCAACAAAACCCCCGATTTACTTTGGACCATCATATTACATATCGCCCATAGAAACTTTTTAATACACCCTTGCCCACATGCACCCCAACAGCATGATTCCTGTCGCCTCACCGACTCCCGTCCACATAACCTTCCTGTCCAAACTCTACTATGCACAAATCAGTAGTATCTCCCGTAGGCTGACTATAAAGCATCCTAATTTGATTTTTCACCTCGCTGCAACTTTCCAAGCATATACCAAAATGTTACTGTAACAACAAACCACTGCCTGGTCCATCGTTTACCTACTACTCAAATAGTCCTCCCCAGGGAAACAAGCTAGTTCTAAATACCGTTACCGCCTGGACTCCAACCCCTACCATAAACTTCGGTCCCCTAAAATTCATACGCAACAGACCCACCCCACTTCTTCATCCCTCATCCACCCCAATACCCCCCCCCCCCATCCCCCATGAAAAAATCCAAAACGAATCACACCCACCCATACAGCCCCAAAACACCCCTTTACCCCCAACCCCAAAGCCCCCACTCAAAAACATTACCCCCAACATTAACCCAAGCGTAAGCCACCTCACCAGCCCCACAGGTATCCAGATTTAAGCCCTATCATTTACTAGTGAACCGGGCATGTGGATTTTTTTTTGACATTTTTACAGTACTGTACCCTTGTAAAAATAAAAAGTAGTCTAAGAGCATTGCATGGCTTAACACCCCCAAGACCAGTTAGACCTAATATTTGCCTGCTAACCCAGGAAACACTGTTAACACCACACATGCCATTTACCTGTAACCAGAAATAGGGGAAAAATAAGCCAATTTCAAGAAATGCTGAGCAATGAAGTTATGAAACACTGTAATTTTAAAAAAAGGGCTAATTCTGAAGACAATATGCATACCAACAAACAAAAGACAGTCTCTCAACAAAAAATGTGTCAATCTAGAAAATGTCCTGAGTCTTAGAAAATGAACATTGAATTACTCTGAACAAAAATGTTTCTTGACACAAAAATAACAGTAACTGATGTTTATTCTCAGTCAACTCTACCTAGAAATAGATCAAACTCCCTCCCACGTCAAAATAACTGCAACCTGAGTGTTTCCCTTTTTATCCAGTGACTCGAAGCTTCAGACTAGGATTACACTTCAGATGCAAAGTATTTAGGTGTATACATGTATTTGTATACAAAAACAAAACAATCGTTTAGAAATCACAGAATTTTAAACAGGTATAAACTCAAAGTAAGAACAACAAGGATTAGCAGTCATTAAAGCAAATTCAACAACTTAAAAGCAGCTAAAAGAGCACTGAATTAAAACACACTAGAAGACTAAGAGGGCTCAGGAGAGGAGGTGATTGGTAACAGCAGTCTAAAACCCACCGAGGCGACCGATACAGTGGTAGAAACCATGGGCATTTTCTAAAGAGGAAAGAAATGAAAAAGATAATTTCAAATTATAATAAAGCTGTGCTAAAAAATTATAGCTGCTCTCTTTTCAGTGAAAAATTATATCATCAAAAATTAAACAGTATGATTTTTAGATTCAGCAACAGGCAAAGCTAAAACACTTACAGAAACTGATGTACATTTATCAAACAATTAGGATTTATAATGAAGAGATGACCAAAACTGGGAAATGGAAAAGAAAACAGTATCATGGAGTAAGCTCAGTAACAATCGAATCTGTAATCTCAACTAGGAGCCAGGAGGCACTAACCTAAACTTGAATTGTTGTAAAAGAGGATTAAAAACAGCTAAGTGATGTTATTATAATTAGCGTGTAATTCCTAAAATTAATAAATCAAGAAAAACGCATTTTATTTATCGACTGAATTTCTAGACTTGAAAATTACAAAATGTTTGTTTCAAAGAATAAAACTAGGGCTAGAAAACTGTATGGGAAAAAGACTTTTGTACTGTAAGCCTTAAATATAATGAGTACATATATACAGAGAGCAAGCAACAAGGAGGCAGACAACACTAACTCAATTCCTGCTTACTGGAGGGAGTATGCAGAAATCTCACTGCTATAATGAACATCTTGAGTAAATGTGACCTGCACAGCAAAGGTGTCCTAGCATTCATGTTCATCTTCCTTTGGTAACAGACTTTTTGTCCCCATTCTGTCTCCAACTAAACCAAGTTTCACCAAAGTAGATCCACCCAGCAAGTGATTCTTCTGAGTACCCGGGCAGCATGTGAGGTGTCAGCATATAACTAAATTTTGGTTAGGGGGACTACCATCAGAGGTGATATATGCATCTTTCAGCTGGCTTTTAATGAAACTGTCCCTTCTTCAGTCACCTCTCTCGTTCCCAATGTGAATCAAAATAAGCCAGCAAAGACTATGGGGACAGAAACAGGTGCAGTACTGACCAACGAAATTTCCACAATTACAATATTCAGTGTTTGCAGGGTCCATACCAGGACCTATCAGCCACAAGTGGCTACATATTTAAATATGGCTAATATGGACAATGAATATTTACCTTGCCTAATTCAAATAAAAATGTTAGCAGACACAAAAAAGCAAGTGACTGCTATGCTGAACTACAAACTCCTTTGAGGGTAGCTAGAAAACAATGAAGAGTCTTGAATAACCTGTGGAATGAAGCCTCTAACCAATCAACTTCAGCCCAATTCTAAATATTAGATAAGAATAGTAAAAATCAGTCTTGTTTGGAGTTCTGAACATTCAAAACATTCTTGTTGACATGAGCTTAACCAGTCCCCTAAATAGCAGACCATGTTTTCATCTAGTCATACTAGGAACGAACATCTTGGTGTTCTATTTACCAAACAAGTGATAACCTCTTACAAGGGTTATCAAAACAGTCTCTCAAAGACAACTTCAAATATTTCTAGTTGGGCAGAATATTACTGTTACTCAATTAAACAAAATGTTCATTTAAATAATAAAAAAACTTCCATCACTGGAAAGTGCAAATTACCCAAGTTATTAGTTATTTGCAGCCATTTGGTAACATCTGTTCCCACACTGCCCTGGAAATCACAGTAACATGCTGCTTTGAGAAGGAGGTTAGAGATTACTACTCAACTAAACAAACTAAAATTGAGTTAGAAAACAAAAACAAAATATGAAATCTAAAGAGAAAGTGTTACACTTTTGGCACTCTAAATTGTATTTATTTTCCTTTGCTTCAGTTCATTTTAAGTCTCCTTGCAATAAATAAAAGGCACTTAACTTGAGAATTAAAGTTTTTTGAAACACTGGTAAAGGATGCTAGTACTTCAGCTTTAGGGAAGTTTTCATTGTCTCTGTTAACAGCTCAGTCTTACCAGTAAAAAAAAACAAGCAGAAAAACGTGCTTTAATCTCTTGAAACAGGGCACTGCTACTGGCCACCAGTCTAAGTCATTTATTTAGTTTTCCCTTCCTGTCGTCATCTAGTTACCTTTAAGTAGCAATGACACCCAAAGTCAATATTGCATCAAAAGGCAGACTCACTTTACACCCTACTAAAGCATGAAAGCTAATTTCCACTGCCTCCCTTAAGGTTCAACATCACCTCTAGAGACTTTCTAAATAACTTGTAGTCCAAAGGATCTCACCTGATACTCACACTACAAGTGCTACCTTGCCAAGCAAATAAGCTCTGTTGTAAATAACAGGAATGTTTCAGATTTCTACCTATGTGCTTCCCACTATGTACACAGGGACATGTACAAGCTATTGTCAGTTTGGTGCCCTTGTTAGTAATCCTCATTTATGTTTTTAAACAAATGCAAATTCTGTTTAAATATTACACAGAACACAATTAAGGCAACTTTTTCACTAAAATTTATTCAGAAATTTAAATATATACGTAAATATTACACAAAGAAGAATCACCATAAAGGTGGCATATATGAAAATCAAATTGAGTACTATTATGTTCTTATGAATATTACAAAAAAATTGGTTGTAATTAAATCTTAATACAGATTCAGTGTCTCGACAACCTTATACCTGTTTTTGCAAAGAACTATGTGAATCTCACAACATGCTGCTTTTTAATATTATTATGCATAATTAGATTCCTTTGAATTATGAAGAAAATGTGGATCAGAGACGTTAAGTTGCCTGTTCAAGGACACACAGCTAATAAACCAGAATTAAGGCTTTTTCACCAGGCTGCACTGACACACTATCACAAGAAAAAAAAACTGACAATCCAAATCTACAGCCAGTGACAAGACAGATCCTAAGCAAATCATGTACTTTGGTTTCTTACAATCCATGCAGACTAATGATTACATAACAGGAACTCATTAATCTCATTAATCCTAGTCCCCATCATTAAGCTATGATAGTTTCAGTCTGTTGCTTAGATTTGTAAAATATCTGTTTTAGGATGGGATAATTTTCCAAATGGCCAATTTTCTTGAGGTCAAGACACCTTACTTAGTTTCATGTCTGTGTTTGACTAACTCCATGAACTGGAGGAAACACTACTGAAAGCTCTAAATGAGAGCTGCCCTAGAGCACAACATCCATTCAGGACGCCTGAATGCTAGCACATGGCCTGCCTTGGATACACAATGAGTGCATACCAATGAGGTTGAGAACAAAATACAGTTTAAACTTTATTAAGTGGCTTCAAAAAAACTTCATGAAAATACTTCATGGAAATACTATGGAAAAATGCACAGGTTAAAAAAGTCTGCACCAAAATACATATCTTCTGTTTCCCCCAAATTTTCCTAAGTATTCTGCTATTTTGAGAATACACAAAATGGCTAGCAGAGTCAGCAGCACACAGCATGAACTTCTTAAAAGGCAGCCCCTGTATGTAACAACATCAGTACAAAGAGGAAACAATTATGCTGTGATGGCATTTCCAGAGGTAGATTCTTATTTTTTGTTTCCATCTATTATCAAAATTACTAATCAATTCCTTTCAATTGCAATGATTGTAAAAACGAAAGCAAAAAAAAAAAAAAAGAATGCTTTCTATGTAGCTCTTTAAAAAAATGTCCCATTAAAATATTTTATATACTTGCTGGGGCTAACGTAGTGGCATAGCCAGCTAATCCTCCACCCACGGTGCCAGAATCCTGTATGGATACAGGTATATGCCCCAGCTGCTGCTACTTCCAATGCAGCTTCCTGTTATTGGCTGGGGAGAACAGTGGAAAATGGCCCAAGTGCTCGGGACCCTGCACTCATTTGGAGACTCAGAAGAAGCTCCCACCTACCGGATTCAGACCGCCCCAGCACTGAGTACTGCAGCCATTTGGGAAGTAAACTAGCAGATGGCAAAGCTGTCTGTCTCTCCTGCTTGTTCATTGGCTCACTCTGTAACACTGGCTTTCAAGTAAAATAAATCAATCTTACACACACACATATATGTATGCACCATTTTATCTTCGTTGCTAATGGTCTCAAGAAATCCTGTACGTACACTCTACGGTACTTAGCAGTTATTTAAGTGCCCAAATATCACTCTATATATGACCTGACTCTCCCACAGATATTAGTTCCATAAGTAATCTAAGCTGCAACTCTCTACACACCCTCACTGTCCCGCATGACAACCATTAAACACCTAACCGCTAGGTTAAAACTTCAATATTTGCAGCATGTTAAATGGCCTGCCAATGCCAGGTTCCAATATGAGCAGTGGTTTGCATTCCAACAGCTTAGATTCTGATTCAACTCCCTCCAAATGCACCCGTGAAAGTAGATGTCTACCCAAAGACTAGGGTCCCAACTACCCACGTTGGAACCAGTCTGGACCAATGTGGCCATTTGAGGAATGAATCAACAGAGCAAAGATCTCAGCACATTTTTCTCTCTGCCTTCTCCACCATTTGTCTTGCAAATAAAATACTTTTAAAACCATGAATGATTCAGATGTATCATATTCTATCTTCACTGTCTTTATTACTGGACTTTGAAAACTGCCTCAAATATACTATACCACGTAACACTGGAACAGTTTTTCTTCTTGCCAAATCTCTACATCACCAACTATCAGCCTAATGCTAAGATCTTCACATGCAAGCAACTGAAAATAAAAACAAATTTCTCTAATCCATCACATTTTACCCTAGCATAACTAGGTTCACAACATCAATGCCTCAAAACACACCTTTCTAACTTAAGCTGCAAATACCATACATCAGTGTTTTGTTTGTCACCCCTTCCAGGGCTATTCATTAAGAGGCTTCTATTTACCCCAAATTCTACTCAGAAATGGTGCTTTAAATGCTACAAATAATGAACAAACATGAATCGATCCTCATTATCATGACGCTCCATCCAAAATTCTATCAGACAGATATTTCTAGCAAAAGTAGAGTTGCCTGCTATTGATCAAACTTCCACTGTAAACAACTAAAGCAGCCTGATCAAAGGAAAATCAAAATAAATGTTTGAAAGTATTGAAGAAGTTCTAAGGCAACCAAGGCAGGAAG